AGTATTTTAAACTGTATAAAAAAAATTGAAATCAATTGTGAAAATCCATTCCTTATATAGGACGTTCTCTCCTGTTCCACCTTATATTTTATTATTAATAATAAGGAAGAAAAAAAGGTCACCGGTTACTGATTCGCGAACATAGGCTATGAAAAAAGATTACCGGTTACACTATATAATTCGCGATGTTATTTATTTTTAGTGTTGTGATAGATCTTGTTAAAATGAAAAAATTATTCACTTCATTTTGCTAATTTTCATGAATTTATTAGTGCTAAACAAGTTATTTTCTTTAGTTTATATGTAATATAATGACTTATTAATAAAAATTTTTAGTAACCTTGGCTTTGCAAATATTTCTGATATTCATCATTATGCAAGAATAGATTTTTATTAGTATTTTCTAATAATATCTAGTGTTTGGGAAAAGTTATTGCATTTTATGAAAAACGTGGACAAAGACATGCATGGGTTGAAAAGCCTACAGGACTTTTAGATAATTTATCATATACCGTAAAGTCTGGAAAGATAGCATTCCCTTTTTACATATGTGTAACATTTTTTTTATATTGACGCTCAATTGTTTTAAAGTAGGGGGTGCTATCTTTCCAGACTTTACGGTATTTCTATTAAAGTTTATATTCCAGTATCTCAAACGGTATTTTTCATGTGAAAACATGGCAGGAGGTGACTTTACAATCATATTACACACACAAGATGTAGTTTATTTTCTGGGGGGCATGTTCATATTCCAATGTGAATTCTAATTTGATTTTAGTAGATAATGAAATTTTTTTTATTTACAATTATTTTAGTATGTCAAATACACAAAATTTGCTTTCAAGAATTTTAATTGATAAATAAGTCTGCCTAAAAAAATTTGCATGTCACAGGCCATATTGATTCGCATCATTAATAAATTGTTTAAATGTTACCATTGAATTGTTTCGCCCAATTATAAAAAAGCAAGATTCGCGTTAATATGATCAGTTGCTTAATTTGGCGGTGACATTCAATAGAGTTTTCCCAGTCCTATTCACATATGCATAGTCACGTTTTCGTGATATAAACTTTATTAAATCAATAACGTCAATCAATATCTAAAAGGATTTACTTTTTTTTTTTTTTTTTTTTAAACTAAGACTTCATTTCAAATTTATTAAACTTAGTAAAATATAATTAATACATGTTACATATAACGTTACCAAAAAAGAAATAATGACCCGCCACCCATGATACAAAGTAAATTGATGGAAGATCCAAGCCTTGCATTGGCTACCAGGATTTGAACAGGCCAACTGAATGTTTTAAGGCTAGGCCACCCGCATCCGTTCTGAAGATAACCAACACACAACTAATCTATTAAAGAACCTGAATAATATTGTAACCATTCCTCCCCTAATATTATAGATTTACGAACTCCCTCTTGACCAGAAGCTAAACTATGTTGATTATTATTTCTATTATTAATACTAGGATTAGAGGAACTATTGTTTGGTTTCTTTTTTCTTTTTTCTTTTTTATTTATACCAGCATGTTCTTCTTCTAAAATAAATTGGTCACAATGAGGTGACCATATAAATTGCTCTATATCTAGAAAAATATTATTTAAGAAAACAGAAATAATGTTTTGTGTTATACTTTTATATTTTGAAGAGTTGTTAATAATATTGGCCAATGATAAAGGTCATCAGGAAATTAATTTAGCGTAAACTTGCATAAATCTTATGATGCCGACGTAATATTGTGTAAATCTTACAGTGCCGACGTAAGTTTTACACTTTTTTATTATTAAACTTACAATTGACACGTGTAAAATTTTTTTATATTTTCCGGATGGTGCCACTCCTTTGATTAAGTCAATAAAGTTAAACTCATCTTCATTGCTATTAATTTTCCATATGGATTCATTTTGAAGATCTCTTGTTGAAAATTGTTTGTTGTTTGTAAACATTTTAACCAATTTAACTAAACATTTTTTGTTGTTAAAAATAATTGAATCTATAATATTTTTATGACTTTTGCATTTCCATACATGTTTAAAAGTTTCTATTTCATCACGACACATTGGATAATTCCAATGTTTATATAAGTCAGGGTGTCTTTTTTTAACATGCTCCACTGTAGGTAATTCTTTAGTTAGATATTTGATCCTTCTAATTTTAATATGACTCGCCTTGAATGATGTATTTGTTGACAATTCATCATCGTTTAATCCACATCTACTTCACAATATTTGTTGTTTCTGTATAAGTTAATAAATTGTTCAAAACCACAATTTCTTGATAAATCTGTAATAAAATGTCGTAAATGCTTTTCTACAATTACATTGTTCCAACATGGAATATATGAGATTGAGAATAAATTGTCTGGAATAAAAGCTATTGGTAATGAATCATGACCATGCATCAATCTGGCTAATTCATCCACTTTGTCGTTAAAATGGTCACCACTGTGACCCTTGACTTTAACAAAATTTAAATTAACAGTTGCAGGACATTGCAGATCTACAAGGGGGTCAAGTGTCACTCACTAATAAAAAATTTTTGATCAACACAGAAATTTATATGAAAAAATGAAGAAAAAAATCACGCTTTCATACACAAACTTGCCTGATTTAATCAAATTGTTACTTTGAT